CCCCACTCCCACCAACATGTAAACTCACTGAGCAGGCCCTCAATCCCTCTGTTACTGTGTCACTATACCCCACTCCCTTTAGCATGTAAACTCACTGAGCAGTGCCCTCAATCCCTCTGTTACTGTGTCACTATACCCCACTCCCTCTAACATGTAAACTCATTGAGCAGGCCCCTCAATCCCTCTGTTCCTGTGTCACTATACTCCACTCCCTCTAACATGTAAACTCACTGAGCAGGGCCCTCAATCCCTCTGTTACTGTCACTATACCCCACTCCCTCTAACATGTAAACTCACTGAGCGGGGCCCTCAATCCCTCTGTTCCTGTGTGTCCAACTTGTCTGGTTACAACTACATGTCTGTTCGTCCAACCATTGTAAAGTGCTGCGGAATTTGATGGCGCTATATAAATAACAACATCTTAATAATAATAATAACGCTACTAATAACATTAACAATACTACTAATTATGGTAACAATAATACTAAGAATAATAATTATAGTAATAGCATTAACACTAATAACAAATACTAATTATACTACTAATACTAGTAATAATACTAATAATACCGCTGCTACTAATAACACTAGTAATAATACTAATACTAATGATAATAATTATAGTAATAATAATAATACTAATTATAATACTAATAATACTGCTCATTATAATATTGGTATTAATAATAATGCAACTACTAATAATACTAATAATTATAGTAATAGCATTAACACTAATACTACTACTACTACTAATTATAATACTTACACTAGTAATAATACTAAAAATAATTCTAGTAATAATACTAATTATGAGACTACTAATAATTATAGTAATCAAATTAACACTAATAATACTAATTATAATACTAGTAATAATTATAGAAAAAAATCACAAAGAAGGCTCAGCGCTGATTTATTAACAAAATAGGTATAGAAAATAAAACAAAAAGAAAAGAGGGTGCGCCTTAAAACAAGTAGGAAAATACTTTATAAATATTGAAGAGTCCAAGCAAATCTGCATCAGTCCCAAATTAGGGTGATCTCCGTTGGCAGGAGAGGAACCTTGCAGGCCAGAGGATAGGGAATATGGGAACAGATGAAGACTCGTTATACCAGTGGCGGATCCAGAGCCTGATCTCGGGAGGGGCACTTGTAGATTATTTAAAGAAATAATCCAGACACAATAACTACTACAGCTCAGTGTAGTGGTTATGGTGTCAATAGTGCCGGGACCCCCTCCCAGAGTAAGTAGTCAAACCGCTTAAGAACAGTTTGACAACTTACCTGAGGTCTGCTGGGAAATGGGGCGGTAGTTGGGCATAGGAGCAGTGGTGTGTGTGAGTGGTGCAATGTGTAAGGGGTGCAGTGTGTGAGCAGTGTGTGTGTGTGTGTGTGAAGGTTGTAGTGTGTGAGTAGGGGGGGCAGTGTATGTCAGGGATGCAGTGTATGTGTGGGACAGTATGTGTGTGTAACAGTTGCAGTGTGTGTGTGAATGTGGGCAATGTGTGTGTATGGGGCGGCAGTGTATGGGGCAGTGTGTGTGTATGGGGGGCAGTATGTGTGTATGAGGGCAGTATGTGTGCATGAGGGCAGTATGTGTATGGGGGGGCAGTATGGGGGGGTAGTATGTGTGTATGGGGGGGCAGCATGTGTATGGGGGGGCAGTATGGGGGCTATGTGTGTGTGTGTTAAGGGTAGGGGAGGGCTTTTTTTTTAATAATATATATCTTTAATTTAAAAAAACAATGCTCCAAATCTCGCGAGAGGAGGACCCGGAGGAGCTGCAGACTGAGCTCCCGGGTCCTCCCTCTCCCTCCCCTGCCGGCTGTCAGCACAGTGCCTGCGGACTGGGGAGGGAGATCTCTGATCTCCCCTCCGGTCCGCAGGCACATTGCAGGGCTAGCACCTGCATGTGCTGGCAGGGGAGGGAGACCGGTGGATTTCTCGGGGGGGGGGGGGCAATTGCCCCGTTGCCCCCCCCCTGGATCCGCCAGTGCGTTATACAGAGGTATATGTGGAAGAGGAATTCCAATGGTGCAGTATGTCGTTATGTAAGGTAAGAGGTATATAACAAAGGAACTACTCACAATATCCAGAGCTTAAATCCACACAGTCTCGCCTGTGAAGAGCTGGGGAGGAGACAGAGAGACTGTGAGTCAAAAACTCTTCTGAAACTGTGTGGGAACAAAAAGTTCTACCATCTACAAGATGCACTAAGAATCCCTAGGTGGGGATTGTACCACCCATAAGCTATACATCGAGCAGTGCGCCTGCTCCATATACCGTGAGTAGATTTTATCTTGTTTTATCATCCCTAATAGATTTACAGGGAGCACTATATATTTTATTTTTATTTTATCCTGAGCTAAACTACCCTACTGGACTATCCTACTGAAGAACACTAGAGGAACGTCACATATCCTTGAGTGGGAATTATTCCACTTCACGCAATTCAAACCAGAGCTGGATTTAAGCTCTGGATATTGTGAGTAGTTCCTTTATTATATACCTCATACCTTACATAACGACATACTGCACCATTGGAATTCCTCTTTCACATATACCTCTGTATAACGAGTCTTCATCTGTTCCCATATTCCCTATCCGCTGGCCTGCAAGGCTCCTCTCCTGCCAACGGAGATCACCCTAATTTGGGACTGATGCAGATTTGCTCGGACTCTTCAATATTTATAAAGTATTTTCCTACTTGTTTTATTTTATTTTCTATACTAATAATTATAGTAACATTACCACTAATAATAATACTAATAATAATAATACCAATAATAATAATAATAATAATAATAATAATAATACTAATAATAATAATACTAATTATAATACTAATAATAATAATACTAATAATAATGTAAATACTTATTAATTATAATAATACTGGTAATTATATTAATTAAATTGACATTAATAATAATAGGTGAATAATTCGCTCTGTGAGTGCCTTTCCGGGTGATATTACTGTGTGGCCCTCAGGGGCCCCAGCCGCTCCCCGCTATCTGCACGCACAGTATGTCAGCCCGGGTCCCGTTATCTGGAATTCTAGGAGCCGCGCTGCCCTCTGGGAATTGTAGTTTGGTTGTGATTTTTCTCCCATCACAGCTCAGTCTCCCGGCTGATCCTGGACTACAAGATCCGTGAGGCATTGCACAGATCGGGCCCTGGCTGCGCGCAGGGGATCATGGGACGTGTAGTTCAGTGGCCGCTTCATTCAGGTTCTAAAGACCATTCTTTGTGCATTGAAGAACTCCATTCCCCGGCATGCCCCGCGCGCCGCATCTCAATGCTGTTTAAAATCTCCGCTCCTGGTAGGGGGCTGGGCAGGGGGCTCATTGTGCTGGGAGAGCTGCCCATAAACAGAGACAGAGAGGCAGCATTGGCTGGGCCTGGCAGCTGGAGACACAGCAAGGCACCAACAAGGTAGGGAGACCCCCCCATCATTCCAGCCCCCCCAATATGTACCCCAGCCCCCCCATTCATCATCCACCAGCAAGGTAGGGAGACCCCCCCATCATTCCAGCCCCCCACCCCCAATCATCCAACCCCATCCCCCCAATAGTCCAGCCCCCCATTCATCATCCACCAGCAAGGGTGGGAGCTCCCCATCATTCCAGCCCCCCACAATCCAACCCCAGCCCCCCATCATTCCAGCCCCCACAATCCAACCCCAGCCCCATCATTCCAGCCCCCAGCCCCATCCCCCAATCCAACCTCAGCCCCATCTTCAGCTCCCCAATCCATCCAACCCCAGCCCCCATCATCCAGCCCCCCCCAATAGTCCAGCCCCTATTCATCATCCACTGTGCAAGGTAGGGAGACCCCCATCCTCCCCAATTCCCCAGCCCCCATTATTCCCCAGCCCCCACAGCCCCACCCCAGCTCCCCATTCATCCAACCCCCCTATTCATCCAACCCCTTCCAGCCCATTCTCCATCCACCAGCAAGGTAGGAGCCCCCATGTTCCATTGCCACCATCATCCAACCCCCATCCCCCACAGTCCAGCCCCCATTCATCATCCACCAGCAAGGTGGGGACCCCCAATGATCTAACCCCATCCCCCATCATATAGCCCCCCCAATAAACCAACCCCAGCCCCCCATCATTCAGCCCCCAATCATCCAACCCCAGCCCCCAATAATCCAACCCCATTCATCATCCACCAGCAAGGTAGTGAGACCCCCATCATTCCAGCCCCAATGATCAAACCCCCATTTATCATCCACCAGCAAGATGGGAGACCCCCATCATTCCAGCCCCCAATAATCCATCCCCCATCATCAGCCCCTACCACCCCCATTCATCCAACCCTCATTCATCATCCACCATCAGGAGGAGCCCCCCCAATGATCTAGCCTCCCAATAATCCAACCCCCATTTATCATCCACCAGCAAGGAGGAGACCACCCATCATTCCAGCCCCAATAAGCCAATACTCACCCTCTCCCAGTAATTCAACCCCAGCCCCCATCATTCCAGCCCTCCACCCTACCCCCATTCATCCAACCCCCTGTTCATCATCCACCAGCAAGGTAGGGAGACCCCCAATGATCTATGTAGCCCCCACAACTAACCCCCATTATCATCCACCAGCAGGTAGGGAGACCACCCATCATTCCAGCCCCCACAAACCACCCTACCCCCAATCCAACCCCATTCCCATCATCTAGCCTCCCCAATAATCCAGCCCCCAGTCATTATCCACCAGCAAGGTAGGGAGACTCCCATCATCCAACCCTTGCCCCAAATCCTACTTCTCCTAGACCCCCAAATCCTACTTCTCCTAGACCCCCATTATCTTACAGCTAGCAAAGTAGGGAGCCCCCCATCATCCAGCCCCACCAAATCATCCTCCACCAGCCCCTCACGTCATACTACAATCAGCAAGGTAGGCAGGACCCCATCATCCCCCCAAATCATTCTCCCAGCCCCCCATTCATACTCCACCCTGCACGATAGGGAGACCCCCAGCAATTTAATCACAATCATCCTGCCCACAACTAGGTAAGTAGACCCCGAGTTCCCCAAATCATTCTGTGGCCCCCCTTTCCCCTGACCACTGCCCTTCAATACATCCATCGTCCCTTTTAGTTAGTAGATTATCTGTCTGCCCAAACACAATGTATCCTTGTTTTAGCTGAAATGGTTAACTTGTTTGCTATATAGATTGTTTATAACTATTATCCCTGCGTCTGATTTTCTAACTTGCCATGAATGGCCCCCCGGCTCGTGGTGGTAATATATGCAGTGCCCTCTAACAAGAAGCTGGCTGTGAGGGATCCCCTGTGTCACATGTTAGGGATTGCCTTGTGCCCCATACAGAGCTCTAACACTGTGCTTCTGGCAGAGTAAGCTCCGCTCCAAATACTGCAGGTCCCCTTCCCATAAATCTCAGCTATTACCTGAATAGTCTGCATTATATAGTGGTGCTAAGTACTTCTCCATTGTCATGGAAACGTCAGCCTGTGTGTGACTGTATCCAGACCCAAAATGTGTTTTCAGAGACTGGTTATAGGGCCCCTGGCGGGGTCTAGGTATATTATGTTTGGGGCCCCTGGCGGGGTCTAGGTATATTATGTTTGGGGCCCCTGGCGGGGTCTAGGTATATTATGTTTGGGGCCCCTGGCGGGGTCTATGTATATTATGTTTGGGGCCCCTGGTGGGGTCTAGGTATATTATGTTTGGGGCCCCTGGCGGGGTCTATGTATATTATGTTTGGGGCCCCTGGCGGGGTCTAGGTATATTATGTTTGGGGCCCCTGGCGGGGTCTAGGTATATTATGTTTGGGGCCCCTGGCGGGGTCTAGGTATATTATGTTTGGGGCCCCTGGCGGGGTCTATGTATATTATGTTTGGGGCCCCTGGCGGGGTCTAGGTATATTATGTTTGGGGCCCCTGGCGGGGTCTAGGTATATTATGTTTGGGGCCCCTGGCGGGGTCTATGTATATTAATGCCGCGCACATTCAAAGTGTCCATAGGAAAGCATTTCTCAATGCTTCCTATGGGCGCTCTGTGCGATAGAGGCATAATATGACTCCAGCGTCGCAGATGCGCCTCTAGTGGCTGTCCGGAATACAGCCACTAGAGGCTGGCTTAACCCCAAATGTAAACATAGCAGTTTCTCTGAATCTGAAGGGTTAAAACCTGAGGGACCTGGCACCCAGACCACTTCATTGAGCTGAAGTGGTCTGGGTGACTATAGTGTCCCTTTAACCGTGTTGACTTAGTTCATGCAGAGCAGAGAGTATATTGCAACATTTGTTGCTTAAGTAACTAACCTCAGTTCAAATGATGTGTTTGAAAAATGTTAGTATGTTGCAACCTAACTAGTATATCTGCAAAGGGAAAAATGATCTAATAATAATAATAATAATAATAATAACTGATTACAAAGGGCAGTTCAGCGATCAGAATGATAATCCAAAGGCTAAATATTTATTGAAGTTGAAAGCTGGAGAGTAATACTGTTTTTCAAAGTGTTCTGAACCCATATCCATTTATTTGTATGTCTGGAGGTTTTATAGTTTAAGATTTATTAATTGTCTGAATATGTGGGTGGACAGTCCTGACGCTCAATCAGGATGTCACTTTACAATTGGAGAGGGACAATCCAGGATACCATCTGAGAGTAGTTAACCTGCTACAAGAGTAGTTTAGTAACCACATTCTGAGAGTTCTCTATGTATAACTTTACTGATAAATCACAATAAAATACTAAGGGTTATCTAGGTTTCTGTGTCTCTCAGGGAACTCATAATCTAAACTTAAATGCCTTCTGATCAGATTCTAAAGTGCCTTTCAGTCTCAAAAATACAGAGGTGTGTAAAACCCCTGCCTCGTAATCTTAAAGGTGCATACATGGATTTTGATTGCTATAAATCACAATAACCAAACTCGGTGTAGAAGAGTAAATCTCATAATCTAAAACTGGATTCAAAAGTGTCTTATGGACTTAAAGGTACAAAAATGTGCGCTTTGTGAAAAATACCGTCTTCTAATCCAAGGGGTGTAAAAAGAAGAAAGTACTTGGTGTAAAGGCTGTATATCAAAAACTGGGGTGCAAAATAAATGTAGTTATGGATAAAAGGGGTAACATTAAATTCTTCATTCAGGCCTTTAGGGTATAAAGTCCTGAAGGAATAGATCCAACGTGACTCAGCTTTTAGAAGGGCTAGGTTCATGTCACCTCTTCGATGGTTGAGGGACAGTTTCTGTATGGCTTGAGACCTCAACACGCTGGGTGTAGCTGCACGATTGAGTCTTACATGTCTAGCCACTGGTGTATCCATATTGGGATTCTTGATGGAGTTGACATGTTGGAGTATTCTGCGACGTAATTGCTGATAGGTCTTCCCAATATACTGTAACCCACAGGAACAAGTAATCAAGAGGACTACATTGGTAGAGCTGCAATTAATGAAGGCATTTACGGGGATTACCCTTGAAGTTTGAGTGCTAGTAACTGTTTTCGTACAATGTCCACATTTATATATTCCCTTTGTGGGTTGCAACCATGTAGATGTTGGTGGTGCTGGTTGTAAATGGCTGTGTGTAAGGAGGTCTGCCAAATTATTAGCTCTTCTGAAGGTCATAGAATAGTGTGTACTGTAGCGCCTATTATCCCTAATGCACTACATTGCCTATTATCCAGCACAGTCAGGATGGCGTCTCCTGCCACAGTCAGTAAAAGTGTTACACACTTCTATCTCAAAGTACCACATAGCTGCACTCATTGATGGGCTTAAAACCCACATAACAGGAACTCTCACAGGACGCGTTTTGCTGAGGCTGTCTATCTTCTGCTGCCACAGTGTGTGTGTCTGTCCGAATATCGCCCGTTTTTATTAAATCAAGAAATGCTCCCCATTCTATCGTTTTAAATCGCTGCGGAATATGTGGGTGATGTATAAATGCTGGTAATAATAATAATGACGACATTCTTTGAGCTTCCAGCTGCTGTTTAGTGAGTGTGTGATATAATATACTATACACGGTTTGTAACTTCAAAGAAGAGTTCTGGCTGTAGGTCTGTCCGTGGGCAGTCTGTGAAGATGCTAGCCATCCTGGGCTCGGCGTGGTGAGAGTAGGAGTCTTCCTCTTCTGCTTTTGACGATTTAGACCCCTTTCCTGTGTCCCCCCTCACCTTCTGTACACGTTTTCCATTTCCACCTTTACTGGTGTGTGTTTAATGAACATATTGTCGCTTTGTGAGATTAATATGGGGACCCTGGCAGTTAGCTTGGGGTCTGTATACTCAACACATTTATCTGTAATTGTGTTTGGCACCCAATTTCCGTCCTCTGGCACCCATAACGACAACTTTCTTTTTGCTAAATTTTTTATTGATTGACACTGTCCCGTGGCTGTGCCAGGCTACCTTGTCTGACACATTCTGTGCCCGTGGCTGTGCCAGGCTGCCTTGTCTGACACTCTCTGTGCCAGGCTGCCTTGTCTGATTCTGTGGCTGTGCCAGGCTGCCTTGTCTGACACCCTCTGTGCCAGGCTGCCCTGTGTGATGGACTCTGTGGCTGTGCCAGGCTGCCTTGTCTGACACCCTCTGTGCCAGGCTGCCCTGTGTGATGGACTCTGTGGCTGTGCCAGGCTGCCTTGTCTGACACCCTCTGTGCCAGGCTGCCCTGTGTGATGGACTCTGTGGCTGTGCCAGGCTGCCTTGTCTGACACACTCTGTGCCTGTGGCTGTTCCAGGCTGCCCTGTGTGATGGACTCTGTGGCTGTGCCAGTGTAACGGATCACCTGGCACCCTGACTGGGTACCTCCATTGATGGATGCTCCTAGCGCTTCCTGAGGGCTCCAAGCATTCCAGCCGACACCATAACCACCGTAGACTTCTCCAGAGAGCAATGCAGGAACAAGCTCTTACAAGAGCTTAGTAGTGATTTAGCAAGGGAGTATGACAAGCATAAGAGACGGCACTCCAAATTGAGGGTGAAGTAGAACTGCCAGAGCTGTGGGTTTATTGTTCTTATATACACATTAGTACCACCCACAGGGTTTTGGAAAACAACCAATAAACACGTACAATACACTCAGACACTCCCACACAAAATCCTCCCCTCTGCCTGTGATACAATTACCTTACACAATGGGTTAATATAATTATCACAGGCAGGAAAATATAGTTTTACACAATATTCATAACTTTAAAAGTATGCATCACATTCACATTTTATATTTTCAGAATCCGCATACTCCAAATACAAACATACGTCAAAAATCATACAAATTGGTCCAGTAGGTCAAAAGTTAGATCAACGTCCTTTGTGACTAAATGAAGCATGGCTTTTCTGCCCAAAACCATTTCCACAGAATCTTCTATCCTGGAGATAATTGGGAAGTAATCCAACTATCTCTAAGGACAGAGGCAAAACTCAATTAGCCACATGGTAGCAAAATACAATTAAATACATAACAATATATAACTGTGCAGCCATTGCATAAAACAGGTACATTCAACATATACCCAAATAGCTTAGATCTGAGCGCACATTATTACTGAATGGCGCTCAGAGCACACACATACAGTTCAATTGCCATGGAGCCAAAGTCTTTCACATAGTCTTTCGTTATACGAATGGGCTCCATGGCATAGCTATCTGGGGTAACACTGCTCACATAGGGAAAGTACCGAATGACCCAGCTTTCTGGTCTTTGCAGGGGAAAATCAAGCAGTTCAACATGGGGCCATAGTCAAAGGGCAGGAGGCTGGCAATCAGTCTTCTCCAATGCCCAGTGGCAAGGCTGGTTCCGCCACAGCCAGGCTGCCTTGTCTGACACACTCTGTGCCAGGCTGCCCTGTGTGATGGACTCTGTGGCTGCACCAGGCTGACTTGTCTGATACACTCTGTGCCCGTGGCTGTACCAGGATGCCCTGTCTGACACACACTGTGGCTGTACCAGGATGTCCTGTCTTACACACTCTGTGCCCGTGGCTGTGCCAGGCTACCTTGTCTTACACACTTTATGCCCGTGGCTGTGCCAGGCTACCTTGTCTGACACACTCTGTGCCCATGCCAGTACTGACTATACCAGAAACCCCCATGTATTACCCAGTATTGACTATACTGGAACACCCCCTACCCCTCCCCCCCAATATTCCCCTGTACTGACTATCCCGGAACCCCCCCACCTGTATTCCCCAGTACTGACTATACTGGAACCTCCCAACCCTCGGATTACCCGTGCTGCCTATACTGGAACCCCCTATTCCCCTGTACTGACTGTCCCTAACCCCCGTATTCCCTGTACTGACTATCCCCGAACCCCCGTATTCCCCTGTACTGATATCCTAACTGCCCCTGTATTCTGTACTGACTATACTGGACCCCTGTGTACTATACAACCCTGTTTACCCAGTGCTGACTATATACTTGACCCCTTGTATTACCCAGTGCTGACTATACTGGGACCCCCCTGTATTACACAGTGCTGACTATACTGGACCCCCCTGTATTACACAGTGCTGACTATACTGGACCCCCCTGTATTACCCATTACTGACTATACTGGGACACCCCTGTATTACCCAGTGCTGACTATACTGGACCCCCCCTGTATTACCCAGTGCTGACTATACTGGACCCCCAGGTGCTGACTATACCACCCCCTGTATTACCCAGTGCTGACTATACTGGACCCCCCAGATACTGTGCTGACTATACCCCCTGTATTACCCAGTACTGACTATACTGGACCCCCCCTGTATTACCCAGTGCTGACTATACTGGACCCCCCTTGTATTATCCAGTGCTGACTATACTGGACCCCCCTTGTATTATCCAGTGCTGACTATACTGGACCCCCCTTGTATTACCCAGTGCTGACTATACTGGACCCTTCTCATCACGTGCAGCGAACTCTCTCTGCATCCAGACAGATGTTCAGGGGCATTTGAGGCTTTGTGGATCAGCTGAACAGTATTATGATAAGGCGTTGGTGTCACGTGACCATCTTATCAGCCAGAGGAATTCAATCTCCTTTTTAGCCCGGCTTTGTGTAGTCCTCTAATCTCCCCCCTTATCTGTGGTCAGTGTCGGTTTACTTGGAAGGAGCAGTGGGCTGCAGTTAGATGACGGAGTTCAGGGACCCCGGTTTAAATGTCTCCTCTTTGCTGAGAAGATCTGCGGACTGGGCTCCGGTTACCTGTTACTTAACATTGGATTTGATTACAGTAAGTTTCTCCTGCACTAAATTCCGGTTTCTTTTCCAGGTGGTCTCAGTATGTGGTGACAGCCGAGACGGTACGATCTATACTTGGTGACCTGATGCAGCAGATTCTCAATTGTGTACCTGATCGAAACATTTGGCCATGACTGTAGGAATTTGACAATATGCCAAGACCTACATGGATGTGAAAAGGGGGCTCTGGACAACGTATTTAGGGGACAGGAAGGCTAAAATAACTCCCACCACCAGCTGCTGTTACGCTTTAGATCTTGAGGTCAGTTCTTGATTCCGGCTTTGCCAAATGGACCCTGTAGTCAAGTTGTCTTCTGATTAGTACAAATCTCTACCTGCTGACCCAGGGTGGATGCCCATGCTGTGGAGAGGTGGGACTCATTGCCTGGGTCCCTTGTTAAGGACCCTTTGTGGTGGGCATCAGGATGAGGTGCAGCTTCAGAGTGTGGATCTTCAGTACCTTAGTTTTCCTTTTCATCATGTCCCTTCTCTTCACATACTCTCATAATGGCACGGCTACTCCAGCCTATTCGGAGTTAAATGACTGGGAGTCTGCGGAGGGTCACCCAGTCCGTCTTGTGCCAGGATACCCCGGTGTCAAGCACAGACCACCGCCTCCTCGTCTGCCAAAAACCTGCTTATGCCGTCACTGTCTGCGCCAGCCAGGGTTCTCTGTGTGGTTTGATAGTCACTATGATCCCGCCATTGCTCCTGTTTGGACCCTTGAAAACCAGGAATTGTCTCCAGATGTCCAGCGCTGGTGGATGGTGAGTTTGCTCTAACTGGTTGTACTGGTCAGTCACTGCCCTGTAATTCTTTAATTGTAAATGACACTGTGGACCATTGAGAAATGAACAGTGAAATCTGCATGGTCGTGTTATATGATTGCTATATACCCCGGCTCAGAGGCGGTGTTATATAATTAACAGCTATATTCCCTGGCTCGTAGGTGGTGTTATACAGTGATTGCTATATACCCTGCCTCGGAGGTGGTGTTATACAGTGATTGCTATATACCCTGCCTCGGAGGTGGTGTTATACAGTGATTGCTATATACCCTGCCTCGGAGGTGGTGTTATACAGTGATTGCTATATACCCTGCCTCGGAGGTGGTGTTATACAGTGATTGCTATATACCCTGCCTCGGAGGTGGTGTTATACAGTGATTGCTATATACCCTGCCTCGGAGGTGGTGTTATACAGTGATTGCTATATACCCTGCCTCGGAGGTGGTGTTATACAGTGATTGCTATATACCCTGCCTCGGAGGTGGTGTTATACAGTGATTGCTATATACCCTGCCTCGGAGGTGGTGTTATACAGTGATTGCTATATACCCTGCCTCGGAGGTGGTGTTATACAGTGATTGCTATATACCCTGCCTCGGAGGTGGTGTTATACAGTGATTGCTATATACCCTGCCTCGGAGGTGGTGTTATACAGTGATTGCTATATACCCTGCCTCGGAGGTGGTGTTATACAGTGATTGCTATATACCCTGCCTCGGAGGTGGTGTTATACAGTGATTGCTATATACCCTGCCTCGGAGGTGGTGTTATACAGTGATTGCTATATACTCTGCCTCGGAGGTGGTGTTATACAGTGATTGCTATATACTCTGCCTCGGAGGTGGTGTTATACAGTGATTGCTATATACCCTGCCTCGGAGGTGGTGTTATACAGTGATTGCTATATACCCTGCCTCGGAGGTGGTGTTATACAGTGATTGCTATATACCCTGCCTCGGAGGTGGTGTTATACAGTGATTGCTATATACCCTGCCTCGGAGGTGGTGTTATACAGTGATTGCTATATACCCTGCCTCGGAGGTGGTGTTATACAGTGATTGCTATATACCCTGCCTCGGAGGTGGTGTTATACAGTGATTGCTATATACCCTGCCTCGGAGGTGGTGTTATACGGTGATTGCTATATACTCTGCCTCGGAGGTGGTGTTATACAGTGATTGCTATATACCCTGCCTCGGAGGTGGTGTTATACAGTGATTGCTATATACTCTGCCTCGGAGGTGGTGTTATACAGTGATTGCTATATACTCTGCCTCGGAGGTGGTGTTATACAGTGATTGCTATATACTCTGCCTCGGAGGTGGTGTTATACAGTGATTGCTATATACCCTGCCTCGGAGGTGGTGTTATACAGTGATTGCTATATACCCTGCCTCGGAGGTGGTGTTATACAGTGATTGCTATATACCCTGCCTCGGAGGTGGTGTTATACAGTGATTGCTATATACCCTGCCTCGGAGGTGGTGTTATACAGTGATTGCTATATACCCTGCCTCGGAGGTGGTGTTATACAGTGATTGCTATATACCCTGCCTCGGAGGTGGTATTATACAGTGATTGCTATATACCCTGCCTCGGAGGTGGTGTTATACAGTGATTGCTATATACCCTGCCTCGGAGGTGGTGTTATACAGTGATTGCTATATACCCTGCCTCGGAGGTGGTGTTATACAGTGATTGCTATATACCCTGCCTCGGAGGTGGTGTTATACAGTGATTGCTATATACCCTGCCTCGGAGGTGGTGTTATACAGTGATTGCTATATACCCTGCCTCGGAGGTGGTGTTATACAGTGATTGCTATATACCCTGCCTCGGAGGTGGTGTTATACGGTGATTGCTATATACTCTGCCTCGGAGGTGGTGTTATACAGTGATTGCTATATACTCTGCCTCGGAGGTGGTGTTATACAGTGATTGCTATATACCCTGCCTCGGAGGTGGTGTTATACAGTGATTGCTATATACCCTGCCTCGGAGGTGGTGTTATACAGTGATTGCTATATACTCTGCCTCGGAGGTGGTGTTATACAGTGATTGCTATATACGCTGCCTCGGAGGTGGTGTTATACAGTGATTGCTATATACCCTGCCTCGGAGGTGGTGTTATACAGTGATTGCTATATACCCTGCCTCGGAGGTGGTGTTATACAGTGATTGCTATATACCTGGCTCGCAGGCGGTGTTATATGATTGCTATATACCTCTTATCTTCCCTCACCCAGATGCTGCAGCCTCAGTTCCGCTCTCATAACACCCTGGAGATCTTATCGCAGCTCTTTCAGATCATCCCGGGTCACAATCCATACATCCAGCAGGACCCCCTGAGCTGCCGCCGCTGTGCTGTGGTGGGGAATTCTGGCAATCTGAAGGGCTCCGGCTACGGGAAGGAGATTGACAGCCACAATTTCATCATGAGGTATCCAGGAGCCAGAGCCAAATGTTCTTTTACAAAGTACAGGGTTGAAGTTTTAGTTAATTACAGGGAATACAGGAGATAAATACATTTTGTTGGGAATGTTAAAGGAGTGATCTGTGGACCATAACCACTTCATCTCAATATGGAAGTTATGGTGCCTGGAATCCTCTGACACCATCTTACTTCCCAGTGTTAAACCAAACCAGTTTCACAGCAAAATAACTGGGTGGCTGTCAGGCAGCCCTTCCTTTGCTGCTTTGCTAATATAGAAGTGATGGGCGGCCTGTGATCAGCTGACTGTGAGGGATGCCCAGTGAGCTCGGACCCCAGATATACATATTGTGAGGTTCTGTATTGCTTGGTTAATAATAAATGTCTTAAATTTTTTTTTTTAATGTATTTTTTTGAATTAATTCCGGGTTTGGGGTTTGGGGTTGAAAGCTCCAGGAACTGGAGATCCTTTGTATGATGCTAATGTCACCATACCTGCTTTATGAACAGTTTCTTGGCATGAAGGGCAAGCTTTGGTGCTAAAAGGGTTCATTTCATTTGGAAGAGGCTATGGGCTGTCTAGTGGCCAGTCAGACCCCTCCAGTCACATTATCAGAACTCCAATCCTCATCAGACAGCTCCCTAATAACTGCCCTTATTCTAACAAACTTGTATAAATCAGAGGAGCTTGTCCGCCCATAGAGTATCCCTGTTCAATGGGTTACGGCTTGTCCCCTCTGGCATTTAAAACATTTTGTAAGAGCTGAGCTTTGTCGCCTTACGCCACAAGGGGGCAGTAGTGGCAGCAACTGTAACGTTAAAACAGAAAAATGATTAGTTCCCGACATCATTTGTTGTATATACTCAGAGATTCCTTGTTTCTTGGCTATTATCCATGTCGGCATCACCTGTGGTTTTAGCTCCTTCCTCTCAGCTGATAGAATCTACAATTAAAATAACGTTATATAAGCGTTACCTCCCCATATCCAGCAGTCTTGTAATTAAGTCAGTCCAGACAGTGGGAGGGATGCCGACATGGATAATTGCCAGGAAAAGAAGATTACGGTAAGTATGTAAATCAGTGCAAATCAAATTTTAATTTAAACATTAATGGCAGAATCAATGGCTTTCCCCCCAAAAGAGGAGACCGAGGAGCCTGTAACGTCTAAACGATAATGTCTCACGAACGTATTGGAGGAAGACCAGGCAGCTGTCCTGCTAATTCCCTCCATTGAAGTATCCACCAAAGAAGCCCAAGATGCCGAGACAGCCCAGGTAGAGTGAGCCTTGATTCCCTCTGGTACCTTCCTCCCGGCCACCTTGTAGGCCTTCTGAATTGCAGACGTAATCCGTCTGCAAATTGTAGAAATAGAGGCAGCCATTTCTTTATGGTAACCAAATGACACCACAAAAAGCCTGGTTGTTTTTCTCGATTCCTTGATTCGGTCAAGATATACTTGTAGCAATCTGACCACATCCAAGGTGTGCCAACAGGATTCTTCTTCAGATGAAGGATTCTTGTAGAAGGAAGGTAATATCATTTCTTGATTCAGAGGGCATTTTGGGAGGACTTAAGGAGTAAATTCCAGAACCAATCTCAGAACTGCCTTATCTTCCAAGATTTGAGTGAATGGATGTTTCTGGATTTCAGAAGCCCTTCTAGCAGACGTGATAGCAATAAGAAATACATATTTCAATGTCAAGTCCCATAGGGATGATAAATCCATAGGTACAAATGATGCACCAGTTAAACTGTGTGGCACTGCTGGTAGATCCCATGCTGGAATGACATTTTTAATTATTGATCTGTTTCTTATGGCCTCCTTTAGAAATCACTTGTTTGTAGCGTCAAGAGTCCATTGGACATTAGATATGGCTGAGAAGGCAGATAATTCAGGGACCGGAGACTCAATCCTTTTTCTAGCCCCTTTTGTAAAAATTCTAACAAGTTAGTAAAGTTTATTGAATCTGAATCTTTACCCAAGGAAGCTGTCCAATCCACATACGGTATGTACTCCATATCCCATAGGACACTTCGGATATGCTGGCTTTTCTTGCTTGAAGAATAGTATTTACTACACACTCTGAAATTCCATTAGCTTTGAGGACGTTCTTTTCAATGTCCAAGCCTTCAAACTAAATTTGGCAGGATCGTCATGGAGAACTGGACCCTGTGACAAGAGATTCTCCAGAGAGGTCCAATATCTTCAATTACTATGCACTAACATAGTAATTCTAACCCAGGCAGTCCCAAATGGCTTGGGTTGTATCTGGGCTCTTCCCTGGGGAGAGAGGCTGAACTCCCCAGGGATGCCATAATGAAAAATCTAATGGCAGGTGACATTTTAAAATAAAAAGGTGTATTGCTACCTAACATCTGGAGGACAGGGAAAAAAAGACTGCCGGATATGGGAAGGTGACTTACTTATATAAGATTATTGTAATTCCTGTCCTATAATGTGAGAGGGGGAGCTTAACCTATAGGTGAATCTCTGAGTATAGACAACAAATGATGTTGGGAACTAATCATTTAATAGCTGATCAGTGCCAGGGGGCACTTGGTAGGAATACTGGGCAAACAAGAGCAATCTGACCATAGCAAGTCCCAGTTATATCTGCTTAATATGCTCCCTGTTTATTCCATGGATTTATAAACCAAACAGAAAATTGTAAAATCTCATAGTATTAACTTAGGTGAGTTGAAGAATTTCTATGAATTGGGGCATTTTACAAACATTGTACAATCCTGATTTTCAAATTCTCTACAGTTTGCCACTTAACGAATTAACGGTACGGAGAGCTTCCCTGAATGGAATGTAGGTGCGAGTTTATCGACGCTGTTGGGTTGGTTAAAGAATAATCATTCTATAATGTTGATATCGCTGATCTGTTTCTTACTGTTTTGGCGCAGGATTAACCAGGCTCCCACTTTGGGCTTTGAGGCTGACGTTGGTGCGAAAACCACTCATCATTTTATGTATCCAGAAAGTGCCAAAAACCTGCCGTCCAATGTCAGCTTTGTGCTCGTCCCATTCAAAGCCCTGGATCTTCTGTGGATCACAAGTGCCCTGTCAACGGGACAAATCCGATTGTACGTATTGGGGGGGGTTTAGGTTCTGGGGAGACACTGGAAATGAACAAGTTGGGTTAAGGGGACAGATTACATTAGGGGTTCACTGCTATTGGGGGGGTATCAGGAAGATGTGGTGAGTCATGTGACTTAACCCATTCTTGTCTCCTTTGTTCAGCACGTACGCCCCTGTGAAAGCATTCCTGCGAGTTGATAAGGATAAGGTGAGTTCTGCTCTTTATGTCTGCAAACTCTGAGAAACCCAAAAAATCACAAAAATGGGGAAACTGAGCTTTTTTTTAATTTTATTTAATTTTTTGAGTGATGAAAATGGATTAGACTCTGTTAAAACATTTGGCTTCCTCTCAGCTCCTGGTGCAGTACTGCAATCATTTAGAGTGTAGTCTAGTGACTGTCCGAGAGACTGAGTGTCAGACTCTAGACAAAAATAAACCCTTTTCCCCGAGGTATAGTGTCCCTTTAAAAACAAACAACAAAACCAGAAGACTGTTAAATTACAACTGGGGGGGGTATTTTACTTTATACTGTTAAATTCATTATCCTTCTGGGATAATGGTTTTTGTTTGTCTCACTGGGGATTTTTATTCATTCTTTTTCATGTCATCCCTAGGTGCAAATCTATAACCCAGCTTTCTTTAAATATATCCACGACCGTTGGACTGAACATCATGGGCGTTACCCATCCACCGGCATGCTAGTTCTATTCTTTGCGCTGCACGTCTGCGACGAGGTGAGTACCGTGTTTCCACTACCAGCTGGCAGTATACAGAAAGGACCCAAACTGTACTTTACACGTCATGAACACAGCACAAAGACAGACATCCAGGCATCGTGTCGATAATTGTGTTATTGTACAGACATGTTTCACGTGGACTGTAAACCACTCCTAAAAGATTACAGCGTATAAACCGTATATATTCACAAATCATTTTTTTCATATTTTCGAATTTCTTGCTCTCTTAATATACAAAAAAACAAAAAGAAATATTCATAGTGTTCATTAAAAAGAAAAAAATGCTGTAAAACCTAACTTAAAATGTGGAATATATCCTAAAAGAGGCCAAAGCCCAGTCTGTAAATATATACACACAATGTAAACCCTGCACTCAAGCTCCCACTATTCCCAGGCAGCAGCAATGGCTAAAGCATTTATCAGCCCTAATACTTAGAGTAAAAACTAAAGAGTTAACTGTGCTCTATCCCAAATCCCTATTCACATTTTAGATTACTGGAAGTTTTATAGTATCACTCTCATGGCCATTAAAGTGTACGAGAAGTCAAAAATAAATCGTTTTAACTAAAAAAACATAAAATGACTTGGCTTCTAAGTGGCAAAGAATTGAGAAGTGAAACTGCAGGGGCATAATCTGTACACCAACACTGCTTCATTAAGATAAAGTTGTTTTCGTTATTCGTGTCCCTAAAAATATAGACACACCCAGTAAAACTGTAATCTAACCTACACAGTTCACCTAACGTGTGGGAGCCTGGTGTGTCCCTTTAATAATATAAACCCACCCATTATAACTAACTGTAACCTAACCTACACAGTGCATCTACCGTGTGTGGGAGCCTGGAGTGTCCTTTAATAATATAAACCCACCCAGTATAACTAACTGTAACCTAACCTACACAGTGCACCTAACGTGTGTGGGAGCCTGGAGTGTGCCTTTAATAATATAAACCCACCCAGTATAACTGTAACCTAACCTACACAGTGCACCTAACGTGTGTGGGAGCCTGGAGTGTCCCTTTAATAATATAAACCCACCCAGTATGACTAACTGTAACCTAACCTACACAGTGCATCTAACGTGTGTGGGAGCCTGGAGTGTCCCTTTAATAATATAAACCCACCCAGTATAACTAACTGTAACCTAACCTACACAGTGCACCTAACGTGTGTGGGAGCCTGGAGTGTGCCTTTAATAATATAAACCCACCCAGTATAACTGTAACCTAACCTACACAGTGCACCTAACGTGTGTGGGAGCCTGGAGTGTCCCTTTAATAACATAAACCCACCCAGTATAACTAACTGTAACCTAACCTACACAGTGCACCTAACGTGTGTGGCAGCCTGGAGTGTCCCTTTAATAATATAAACCCACCCAGTATAACTGTAACCTAACCTACACAGTGCATCTAACATGTGTGGGAGCCTGGAGTGTCCCTTTATTAATATAAACCCACCCAGTATAACTAATGGTAACCTAACCTACACAGTGCATCTAACGTGTGTGGGAGCCTGGAGTGTCCCTTTAATAATATAAACCCACCCAGTATAACTGTAACCTAACCTACACAGTGCATCTAACGTGTGTGGGAGCATGGAGTGTCCCTTTAATAATATAAACCAACCCAGTATAACTAACTGTAACCTAACCTACACAGTGCATGTAATGTGTGTGGGAGCCTGGAGTGTCCCTTTAATAATATAAACCCACTCAGTATAACTGTAACCTAACCTACACAGTGCATCTAACGTGTGTTTGAGCCTGAAGTGTCTCTTTAGTAATATAACCCCCCCCCCCCCACTACTGACATGCTAGGTCCAAATCTCTTGATTTGATTAAGTTAATTAATATTCAAATGTCTTATTAACAAAGACACTGCTGCATAAATTCAGTGTTCTTTATCCAAAGGTGTAATTTCCTGACATTCTTTTTCAGGTGAATGTTTATGGCTTTGGCGCAGACAGCCGAGGGAATTGGCACCACTACTGGGAAAATAACCGCTATGCTGGGGAATTTCGCAAGACTGGCGTTCACGATGCAGACTTTGAGGCACAAATCATTGATACACTGGTACGAGAAGCCAAGATTAAGGTTTTTCGCAGTACATGAGGGACCTTTACCTCTCTCTGATCCTTTTAATCGGAATCCGGTAGCCAATCAAACTGTGCTGTTTGGCAAGGTGTCTGTCTTCGGCATTGCAAGTTCTCACTACATATTTTACTCCCCAATATGTGTTATTTGCCAAAATGGATCTGAAAATGATGCATAGTTAATGTAATCGTGAATACATGGTATAAAGACGCCTCCACCATTCACGATCAAAAAACACATCATAATCCTGAACGGATGTCCTTCTACACTACGAATGGTGACCCTCGTCTTTTACACAGATGTATGCACCAAGTGCGGAGTGCTGCTACGTCTCAGCCAATCAGGTTTAAAGCTGTGTTTTCTGCTGCTCAATCAGCAATCACATTCATGTTATGAAATTATGTCATCAACATAGAGCATTCTTACTTCTTCTTAGAACAAATTGATGAAACTTGCACTGGAAATCGAGCTGAATCACCGGCAGGACGCACCTGGCAGTGAATAGGCCGCATTCTTGGTCCTCCAAATCAGAAGGAATGTAGGTCACGCTTCTGACAATCTGTTGGAAATGTCTGGACTTGTACAATCCCAATTCTATAACCTTGTACCTCTGTCAGCTAATCACAATCAAGAGCTGGTAGGGCTACAATCTGATTGGTTAGCTCTACTAACCCCTCCTATGGCGTTCTTCTTGTGATCTCCCTTCATATCATGTCCTAACACACACACACACACACAAAGAGGGAATCATGGCTGTGGGTGAATAGAATGTATTTGGTAGCCGGCTGTGTGTATTTGGGCAGGCCTCTACTTGCCTAGTGCTGTACAAAGACTAGAACTGAAAGTGTTTGCGCCTTGGTGCGTGCCGCCATGTTGCTTCTATTTAAAGCGTGGTATTTGCTAATGTAGCTTAGTTATACACTCCGCACCCTGGGACAGTATCTAGCACCTATTGGAATCCAGTGGTATTTATCTCTGACGGTTGTGGTACGGCTGTAGGTTGACCTGGGTTAGGTTTCCCGATGTGGATAAGGACTGCATGATGTGAATGCACATATCAGCCAGCTGTATACATATCCCATCGCTCTGCGTTTAGTATATGGTCAGCTTATTCTACCAGATTTGGTTAAATCCGCAGAGTAAAATAACCGTTTTACGATATATTCCTCTCAAAACTCGGCTGCAGTATCCACTATATTTGGGTTTACGGTTTATGCTCTGCTTTGTATGTTGATTTCTAGTTTATCTAAGTATAGATACACTGAACAAAGCTGAGCCATATGGTTTAAACCCTAAGTACCAGCGATCGGCACATATTTACATCATGAGATGTCTGATATGTGATTCGTCCTTAACCCCTTAAGGACCAAACATCTGGGATAAAAGGGAATCATGACATGTCACACATGTCATGTGTCCTTAAGGGGTTAAAGAGGAGCGATCATGAAAACGTAACCAGGATGAACTAATATATATATTCCTTTTAGTGTAAAAGATATTGGGGGGTTTTGGTTAATGGCCCCCCTCCAGTGTGAGCTGCTGTGTTCCCTGAGTATTCTACAGACAGCAATTACATTGTAATGTCCGTATCCCTTTAGTGTAAAAGATATTTTTTTTGGGGGGGGGGGGGGACGACAATAGATATTTTGTACACTATTGTTGTTAGAACGTACAGAGTGGCCTGTATAATTATATACTAGAAAATCTCAAAAGCTACGTTTTCATATTTCCCCTTATTAAAGGGGTGTCTTTACTCGCACTGCATCCAGTTTGTTTGAATCCCCTGTTTATTTCTCTTATCCCCACAAAACACACACCTGCACCCCACTCAATGAAATCCACTCATTATTCTGCTACTTGTGACAGCCGCCCCTTTACCGGTTGGTTTATCAGTATTATTATAATGTTTCTAATTAATGTGCTTATGTCCTGTCTGGAAGCAATGGACGGGCAAAATGCTGTACAAAGGAATAAAGTAAAGCTTCACTTGTTGTGGTGCCTGTGCTTTATAGGACTATTACATTTTTGACGGACTTTCAGTTGTTGGGAATGGCATTGTGCCAATTAAATGCCACCTTTTACCCTATGCTCTTTGTAGGCAGTAATGCCCCTGTATTATCTTTGGTGTCCTGCTTTAAGTACCTACCCACCATCGCTCTGCCTTTTGAGACCCAAACATCACCTTCTCTCTTTCCAGTTAGTGGAGCATTATGGGAAATTAGTTCACTTAGCAGATCGGTGCCTGTGCCTTGCGTGCATACCCTTAATAAGTTTGTGAATGAAAATGGATATTGGGCCCCAGGGTGTTATGGGGTTCCAGCTGTGTATACTAGATATATTCCCACCAGACCATAAACCCCAGCTCATATCACTGGCCGTATTGCTCTGCATTGAGGTGCAGCTAGGCTTCTCTCCATGGACCAATGTTAACACTACGGCTTGTGATCATAGACAGGAGACAATATGGAAGCCTTTTGGGTAGACATGGGAGACTTCCGAACATTACTGCTGTGTTCTCATTCTGAAAAGGAAAACCAACTGCTGAAGCTTCTAATTTTTCTGACATTGACAGGGACAGAGGGATTAGCAAATTCAGTTGGGGGGAAACTAACCTGTGAAATGATACCTTCATGTCTCACTTGGTAGATGCACCAATGGTTTGACTGCCAGGAGATGGTCTCTGCCTCTTTTCTTCCTGTATTGGTAAGCTTCTATAGACGGTCCTATCCCAGGCAGAGAACTCCTGGCAAACCGCAGGTAAGAAAGGAAACTGTTGGCAAAGAGATTGATTACGTACATCGGTTGGCACCAGGGAACTCCTGATAGTGGACGATTTGTCTTGATACATTTGAGGCTTTACACCCCCCCCATCCCCCCAAACACACTATTACTATCATTATTCCTTAAAGGGCCACTCCACTACCAAAATAAGTCACTATTCAGTAAATATACTACCAATGAAAACATGCATGCATTTAATTATGCATTTTTCCATTGGTGGTATATGTACAAATAGTTTGTAAAAGCTGCAGATTTCTTGTTAGCCCTTCTAACCCTGCCCAGACTTTCTGTGTCTGTCCAATCACAGACTTCCTAATGCAGCTTACTGAGAAGTCTTTGCAAGGCAGATGCTCTGGGCAATTGCCAACAAATGTCTTTGGAAATGTTCCCAGAGGAAGGCGCTGTACTGATAAAAATAATTTACTGTGAGCTGATCAATATTGTGTCTTTTCCAACCACTGGTACCCTGAAATAATGTGTGGATCCCTGACCCTTAGAACGACAGATGATGCATAAATCTTAAAATATATTCCTTTACCTTTCTTGCTTTTATCGTGCTAATCCAAAGGAGAAGCTAGATCAAGCACCCCCACATCTGTACAGCTTACTATGACTCCAGGCGAGTTGATACCAAGTTCAATCCTCTGATATCACTCCTTTTATTAGGAGTATGAACACTGGACACCTTCATCCCATATGAACATATTACGTTCTTTGGACATGTCCTGTAACCATGATTTCATAGCATTCTGATTACAGATGGCACGTTCTTTGGACATGTCATGTAAAGATTTCATAGCATTCTGATTACAGATGGCACGTTCTTCGGACATGTCCTGTAACCATGATTTCATAGCATTCTGATTACAGATGGCACGTTCTTTGGACATGTCATGTAAAGATTTCATAGCATTCTGATTACAGATGGCACGTTCTTCGGACATGTCCTGTAACCATGATTTCATAGCATTCTGATTACAGATGGCACGTTCTTTGGACATGTCATGTAAAGATTTCATAGCATCTGATTACAGAAGGCACATTCCTTGGACATGTCCTGTAACCATGATTTCATAGCATTCTGATTACAGAAGGCACATTCCTTGGACATGTCCTGTAACCATGATTTCATAGCATTCTGATTACAGAAGGCACATTCCTTGGACATGTCCTGTAACCATGATTCCATAGCATTCTGATTACAGAAGGCACGTTTTTCGGACATGTCCTGTAACCATGATTCCATAGCATTCTGATTACAGATGGCACATTCTTCAGACATGTCCTGTAACCAGGATTTCATAGCATTCTGATTACAGATGGCACATTCCTTGGACATGTCCTGTAACCATGATTCCATAGCATTCTGATTACAGAAGGCACGTTTTTCGGACATGTCCTGTAACCATGATTTCATAGCATTCTGATTACAGATGGCACATTCTTCAGACATGTCCTGTAACCATGATTCCATAGCATTCTGATTACAGATGGCACATTCTTCAGACATGTCCTGTAACCATGATTCCATAGCATTCTGATTACAGAAGGCACATTCCTTGGACATGTCCTGTAACCATGATTTCATAGCATTCTGATTACAGATGGCACATTCTTCGGACATGTCATGTAACCATGATTCCATAGCATTCTGATTACAGAAGGCACGTTCTTCAGACATGTCCTGTAACCATGATTCCATGCATTCTGATTACAGAAGGCACATTCCTTGGACATGTCCTGTAACCATGATTTCATAGCATTCTGATTACAGATGGCACATTCTTCGGACATGTCATGTAACAATGCTTTTATAGCATTCTGATTACAGAAGGCACGTTCTTCAGACATGTCCTGTAACCATGATTCCATAGCATTCTGATTACAGAAGGCACGTTCTTCAGACATGTCCTGTAACCATGATTCTATAGCATTCTGATTACAGAAGGCACGTTTTTCGGACATGTCCTGTAACCATGATTCCATAGCATTCCGATTACAGATGGCACATTCTTCAGACATGTCCTGTAACCAGGATTTCATAGCAGTCTGATTACAGAAGGCACATTCCTTGGACATGTCCTGTAACCATGATTTCATAGCATTCTGATTACAGAAGGCACATTCTTCAGACATGTCCTGTAACCATGATTCCATAGCATTCTGATTACAGAAGGCACGTTCTTCAGACATGTCCTGTAACCATGATTCCATGCATTCTGATTACAGAAGGCACATTCCTTGGACATGTCCTGTAACCATGATTTCATAGCATTCTGATTGCAGATGGCACGTTCTTCGGACATGTCCTGTAACCATGATTCCATAGCATTCTGATTACTGAAGGCACTTTTTTGGACATGTCCTGTAACCATGATTCCATAGCATTCTGATTACAGATGGCACATTCTTCAGACATGTCCTGTAACCAGGATTTCATAGCATTCTGATTACAGATGGCACATTCCTTGGACATGTCCTGTAACCATGATTCCATAGCATTCTGATTACAGATGGCACATTCTTCAGACATGTCCTGTAACCATGATTCCATAGCATTCTGATTACAGATGGCACATTCTTCAGACATGTCCTGTAACCATGATTCCATAGCATTCTGATTACAGAAGGCACGTTTTTCGGACATGTCCTGTAACCATGATTTCATAGAATTCCGATTACAGATGGCACATTCTTCAGACATGTCCTGTAACCAGGATTTCATAGCAGTCTGATTACAGAAGGCACATTCCTTGGACATGTCCTGTAACCATGATTCCATAGCATTCCGATTACAGATGGCACATTCTTCAGACATGTCCTGTAACCAGGTTTTGCGCGCGGTCTGGTCCAGAAGGCACATTCCTTGGACATGTCCTGCTTAACCGCCCGATTTCATAGCATTCTGATTGGGCACATTCTTCAGACATGTCCTGTAACCATGATTCCATAGCATTCTGATTACAGAGCCGCGTTGAACATGTCGCAGCCATGATTCCATAGCATTCTGATTACAGAAGGCACATTCCTTAGACATGTCCTGTAACCATGATTTCATAGCATTCTGATTACAGATGGCACATTCTTCGGACATGTCATGTAACCATGCTTTTATAGCATTCTGATTACAGAAGGCACGTTCTTCAGACATGTCCTGTAACCATGATTCCATAGCATTCTGATTACAGAAGGCACGTTCTTCAGACATGTCCTGTACCCATGATTCCATGCATTCTGATTACAGAAGGCACATTCCTTGGACATGTCCTGTAACCATGATTTCATAGCATTCTGATTACAGATGGCACATTCTTCGGACATGTCATGTAACAATGCTTTTATAGCATTCTGATTACAGAAGGCACGTTCTTCAGACATGTCCTGTAACCATGATTCCATAGCATTCTGATTACAGAAGGCACATTCCTTGGACATGTCCTGTAACCATGATTTCATAGCATTCTGATTGCAGATGGCACATTCTTCGGACATGTCCTGTAACCATGATTCCATAGCATTCTGATTACTGAAGGCACTTTTTTGGACATGTCCTGTAACCATGATTCCATAGCATTCTGATTACAGATGGCACATTCTTCAGACGTCCTGTAACCAGGATTTCATAGCATTCTGATTACAGATGGCACATTCCTTGGACATGTCCTGTAACCATGATTCCATAGCATTCTGATTACAGATGGCACATTCTTCAGACATGTCCTGTAACCATGATTCCATAGCATTCTGATTACAGATGGCACATTCTTCAGACATGTCCTGTAACCATGATTCCATAGCATTCTGATTACAGATGGAACATTCTTCAGACATGTCCTGTAACCATGATTCCATAGCATTCTGATTACAGAAGGCACGTTTTTCGGACATGTCCTGTAACCATGATTTCATAGCATTCTGATTACAGATGGCACATTCTTCAGACATGTCCTGTAACCATGATTCCATAGCATTCTGATTACAGAAGGCACATTCCTTGGACATGTCCTGTAACCATGATTTCATAGCATTCTGATTACAGATGGCACATTCTTCGGACATGTCATGTAACCATGATTCCATAGCATTCTGATTACAGAAGGCACGTTCTTCAGACATGTCCTGTAACCATGATTCCATGCATTCTGATTACAGAAGGCACATTCTTCGGACATGTCCTGTAACCATGATTCCATAGCATTCTGATTACTGAAGGCACTTTTTTGGACATGTCCTGTAACCATGATTCCATAGCATTCTGATTACAGATGGCACATTCTTCAGACGTCCTGTAACCAGGATTTCATAGCATTCTGATTACAGATGGCACATTCCTTGGACATGTCCTGTAACCATGATTCCATAGCATTCTGATTACAGATGGCACATTCTTCAGACATGTCCTGTAACCATGATTCCATAGCATTCTGATTACAGATGGCACATTCTTCAGACATGTCCTGTAACCATGATTCCATAGCATTCTGATTACAGATGGAACATTCTTCAGACATGTCCTGTAACCATGATTCCATAGCATTCTGATTACAGAAGGCACGTTTTTCGGACATGTCCTGTAACCATGATTTCATAGCATTCTGATTACAGATGGCACATTCTTCAGACATGTCCTGTAACCATGATTCCATAGCATTCTGATTACAGAAGGCACATTCCTTGGACATGTCCTGTAACCATGATTTCATAGCATTCTGATTACAGATGGCACATTCTTCGGACATGTCATGTAACCATGATTCCATAGCATTCTGATTACAGAAGGCACGTTCTTCAGACATGTCCTGTAACCATGATTCCATGCATTCTGATTACAGAAGGCACATTCCTTGGACATGTCCTGTAACCATGATTTCATAGCATTCTGATTACAGAAGGCACATTCCTTGGACATGTCCTGTAACCATGATTCCATAGCATTCTGATTACAGAAGGCACGTTTTTCGGACATGTCCTGTAACCATGATTCCATAGCATTCTGATTACAGATGGCACATTCTTCAGACATGTCCTGTAACCATGATTCCATAGCATTCTGATTACAGATGGAACATTCTTCAGACATGTCCTGTAACCATGATTCCATAGCATTCTGATTACAGAAGGCACGTTTTTCGGACATGTCCTGTAACCATGATTTCATAGCATTCTGATTACAGATGGCACATTCTTCAGACATGTCCTGTAACCATGATTCCATAGCATTCTGATTACAGAAGGCACGTTCTTCAGACATGTCCTGTAACCATGATTCCATGCATTCTGATTACAGAAGGCACATTCCTTGGACATGTCCTGTAACCATGATTTCATAGCATTCTGATTACAGAAGGCACATTCCTTGGACATGTCCTGTAACCATGATTTCATAGCATTCTGATTACAGAAGGCACATTCCTTGGACATGTCCTGTAACCATGATTCCATAGCATTCTGATTACAGAAGGCACGTTTTTCGGACATGTCCTGTAACCATGATTCCATAGCATTCTGATTACAGATGGCACATTCTTCAGACATGTCCTGTAACCATGATTCCATAGCATTCTGATTACAGATGGAACATTCTTCAGACATGTCCTGTAACCATGATTCCATAGCATTCTGATTACAGAAGGCACGTTTTTCGGACATGTCCTGTAACCATGATTTCATAGCATTCTGATTACAGATGGCACATTCTTCAGACATGTCCTGTAACCATGATTCCATAGCATTCTGATTACAGAAGGCACGTTCTTCAGACATGTCCTGTAACCATGATTCCATGCATTCTGATTACAGAAGGCACATTCCTTGGACATGTCCTGTAACCATGATTTCATAGCATTCTGATTACAGATGGCACATTCTTCGGACATGTCATGTAACAATGCTTTTATAGCATTCTGATTACAGAAGGCACGTTCTTCAGACATGTCCTGTAACCATGATTCCATAGCATTCTGATTACAGAAGGCACGTTCTTCAGACATGTCCTGTAACCATGATTCCATGCATTCTGATTACAGAAGGCACATTCCTTGGACATGTCCTGTAACCATGATTTCATAGCATTCTGATTACAGATGGCACATTCTTCGGACATGTCATGTAACAATGCTTTTATAGCATTCTGATTACAGAAGGCACGTTCTTCAGACATGTCCTGTAACCATGATTCCATAGCATTCTGATTACAGAAGGCACGTTCTTCAGACATGTCCTGTAACCATGATTCCATAGCATTCTGATTACAGAAGGCACATTCCTTGGACATGTCCTGTAACCATGATTTCATAGCATTCTGATTACAGAAGGCACGTTCTTCAGACATGTCCTGTAACCATGATTTCATAGCATTCTGATTACAGATGGCACATTCTTCGGACATGTCATGTAACAATGCTTTTATAGCATTCTGATTACAGATGGCCTGTTCTGGATGCTGAGGCCAACCTTCAGTCAGTGCCATTCCGTTTTATGAATGAGGCTGTAAATTCTCAGTAGTTTATTCAAACAAAGCATTGTAGTGAGCTACAAATTGAGGCCAGGGCAGCCAAACTGACTTTTTAACCAAATCAGGGATGGTTGCAGTGCAGTTTTCAAATCTCTCCAATCCACAGTTTAATGAGTAACGCCCAAATGCCTATCGATGTAGGAATTCAAAAGGCCTTTCACTTTTTAAAGGGAACTTATCCCGCCCACCGCTACGCTTGTTAGTTTTTAGGAGCATCAAATGAAATCCATACATTCTTCTAAAAACACCTTAGACACAACTGAGTAATCCTTACATTCTGGACTGGTTTGGGAACTGCTGCCATAGACTATTAAATAAGGAGGCGGTCCTCCTCAACCATAGCTATCACAATGCCTGTGCTGTGGTTACTATGGAAACCCCAAAGCTGTCGCTGGCTGGGAGTTAGGAATCGAGTGACTCACATCGTTCTGTCCAGACTCCAGCATAATGGCAAATGACTACGGGAGGAACAAGAGGGGAGGGGAAGCGAAGCTCACACAGAAATTCTCCTTTGGTTGATTTAGTTTATAATTTGAATTCCAAACAGTTTAGTAAATAACCATGACAGCGTTTGTAAGCCAGTGTTTCAGGTATTCCATCCACCAGGTAAGGATTGCTCTGGTAGTGGGGGACTCCAGGTCAGATCTGCAATATTCCGGCCGATAACTTACAGTACCAAGCAGTGGATGGAAACATTATAATGCTATTTATAATAATTACTTACAAGCATTAGAAAAAATACTGTTTAATCATTTTTTAAAACAATAAACTGACTGTGCCAGGACGATGTGCAATTAAATATCACCCCTGGCTGGTCTGGTGTTGTCGTTTTTTTTTTTAGCTGAACGATGCTGCCAAATTCACTGATGCCAAAACCAAGAAGAAACCATTAAGATGAGGGTGTTAGGAGGACTCTGGTGCCGGGATTTTGCGTTTTGTAGCTTTGATGAGGCTCTGCTGCAGCACAGGGTACAGTCTCTGACAGCCTTCCATACATAGTTTTATGGCTTCCACAGAACTCTCTCCTTCCCATTCTCCACTACATACAAGGCCGGAAACCTGCAGACATAGACAAATCAGTTGGTATATTAACTAAATGTATAACCAAAAGGTGTTAAACGCCTAGAATAAAAATACATATTCAACTACATAAAGATATCAGACAATACAATCAAAAAGAAACATGTATAGAAAGTAGCAGTATGATATCACAAAGTGACATACAGTTCCTACAAAATACCAAGAACAAGCACACCACTGTTCCTTTTTGGTATTTTGGTGGTATATTGACGGTGTAAAATTACAGCATTTTATAAAAAGACACAAAGGAGAGTATTGAATCTGATTCAACTGACTGGTCACTTTCCTTCACAACTTATATTCTTATATATGTGTCCGTTATGTATTGTCACTTAATATTTATTCTAATGATTTGTTACTAGTGTACGTGACCTAAAATCATGACTTAATATGTTTCTGGAGGTTAGGGAGACAGAAGACTCCACACTAGTGGAAGGGGGAGCTTAAAGAAAAGGCCCCAGAACCAAACAGAAAATGGTCTGCATCAGGGAGCACGCCAACAGGCCACACTGGGAGCAATACATAACACATTAGGGAGCAGTATATATTATTATTATTGGGGGGTGCAGTATATTATTATTATTGGGGTGCAGTATATTATTATTATTGGGGGGTGCAGTATATTATTATTATTGGGGTGCAGTATATTATTATTGGGGGTGCAGTATATTATTATTATTATTGGGGGTGCAGTATATTATTATTATTATTGGGGGTGCAGTATATTATTATTATTGGGGTGCAGTATATTATTATTGGGGGGTGCAGTATATTATTATTATTATTGGGGTGCAGTATATTATTATTATTATTGGGGTGCAGTATATTATTATTATTATTATTACCTGGTTGAGTCCCGGCAGGAGGCTGACGCACATGGTGTCCCCGGTCTCCTCCTCGGTGTCCAGCGGGTCGGGGCGCAGTTGTCCCCCGGGGGTCCGGCTCAGCCCGCTGCCCACCGCCAGGTCGAACATTTCGATGCCGGCGTCGGCCAGTGCGAGGGAGGCGGCGGACACGGCGAGAGCCCCCGCGGAGCCCCGGTCCTCCAACACCAGAACCGACACCGCCAGCTCGGCCCGGGGATAGCGCTCGGTCCGCACCGCCGGCCTCAGGCTCTCCGCCAGCCAGGCCCCGGGGGGGGAGCGGGGGGACCGCGGGGGGAGGCGGCGGGAGAACGGGGCCCAGCGGAGCTCGCACACCAACCGGCAACCGGAACCGGAACCACCGGAACCGGGACCGACACCAGAACCGACACCACCGGGACCAACGGCCCGGGGCCCCCGCACCGCGCACAGCACCTTACTGCCGCCCAGCTCCACATAGCCCGAGCCGCCAGCCTGAGACAGCACCCCGGCCCGAGCGAACACCGCCACCCGCGGCCGGACCGACACCGGAACCACCGGAACCGGAACCACCGACCGGTACAACAGCGGACTCCGACCGCTCGAGAGAGAGAGAGAGAGAGCGGCTCCCAGATACCAGAGAGAGCGAGAGAGAGAGAGAGAGCGGCTCCCAGATACCAGAGAGAGCGGGGAGAGAGAGAGCGGCTCCCAGATACCAGAGAGAGCGGGAGAGAGAGAGAGCGGCTCCCAGATACCAGAGAGAGCGAGAGAGAGAGAGAGCGGCTCCCAGATACCAGAGAGAGAGAGAGAGCGGCTCCCAGATACCAGAGAGAGAGAGAGAGAGAGGAGAGAAGCGGCTCCCAGATACCAGAGAGAGCGAGAGAGAGAGAGAGAGCGGCTCCCAGATACCAGAGAGAGCGAGCGAGAGAGAGAGAGCGGCTTCCAGATACCAGAGAGAGCGGGGGGAGAGAGAGAGCGGCTCCCAGATACCAGAGAGAGAG